AAAATAAATAAATAAATAAAAAAAAAACAGAACTAAATAAAGTAAAGTATAAGATGTTTTGTGATTTTAAGAATTTTTTAAATGATTCTCAAAATAATGAAGACTATAAAGTAAGTATGGGCTGACGTAAGGTTGACTAAATTTATTACTTTTAATAACTTATTATACTGAACTACGAAGTAGTAAATCTCCTTATGTAACATTGTTATTGCTCATGTATGCCATTAAAAGTATTAAATTACACTATATCCAGCAGTTCAGTTGAGGTAGTTGTTGGAAACTTTATCCTTATCTATAAAAAATAAAACCTTACAAAAAAAAATAAGCCAACCTGAAAGCACTAAACTTGTCTTTCTCGATTTTTTTCTCTGTTATTGATTATATTACAAAAATTATCATACTGATCTCCTAATGGATATATAAACATTTATAATAGTATGTTATGTACCAAATGACCAAAAGTATAAAATGTTTAGATTAAATGTGTATTGTTGACCGAGGTGAAGATGAGTATACTTTATTTTCTTCTATGGTGCATATATATATGAGTTTTCATGCCCCTACGGGAAAGGGGTGGCATCATTCTGCCTAGTAGGACAAAAGTATCCAATTTCTTCCCACAGGCATGAAAATAATTATTCCATTTTATTCTAAACGGGGCAATGCGTTTATAAAGTGTGACGTCGTAGTTATCACTATACAACTGTAGGCATAACTGACACAGTGGTGCAACGGTAGAGTTTGCCGTTTCTTTGACCAGTAAAGTTAAGCAGCATTTGAAGTGGTAAGTACTTGGATGGCTGGCCCTTTAAGTCTTACCGTTTTGTCATTGTTATTGCTTTTTAAATATCGATTAACTGTTTCTCTTATACTTTATCAACGTGATCGATAAATGTGCAGGAGTTACTCTTTATGTTAATGCGTAGACACCCGATTCAGACTCAGGCAATACACCTATTTTTTGTAAGAGTTAATCACTTCCTATCCCATTCCATCCATTTTTCTTTCCCATTCCCTGCTAAGTGGCCTAAGTAGTACCTGTAGAGTAGAGCTAGATGTACAGCACTATAAAATAAAAAAATTATAGGCATAGAACGATGTCATTGGCGGCTACCAAGTAAAAAAAAGTATTTTATCTTACTATATTATACAGCAATTTAGGTGGGGCTTATCACAATTTTTTCACAGCCTTCAATACCCCATAATATAAGGAAAAAGTATTTTATTTTTTCCTTTATTTTTATAGATTCAATTTTTTGTTGAGCCCCCACAGCCACATCACAACCTCCCAAAGACTCCTTCACCATCACTCTACTAAATTTTTTGTAGCTCCCTTATGACTTCCCACAGCTCCGCTACCAGAATAACATTGGATATTTTCACACTACTCATAAGGGTAATAGATTAACCATATAGTTGTAAATAATGATATATACTATTTTCCAAATAAAAATACGAAGTTTACTACCTATGTAAATTGTTTTTAAAATGTTTTAACGCTATTTTTAACCATAAAATTATTAGTGCAAAGGATTCAAAATGAATATTGTTATATAAATATATTAAATTTGTATCTCTACATTTTTTATGAATTTTTATAATTGTACATCATGTTAAAATTTTTATATTTTGGTAGAATAATAATAAACGTAGTCATCATTAGTGTATCTATACAACCAAAAAAAAAATTTTACTTCTCTGTATGTAAAGTTTAATAATACAATAAAAGTTAATATTTTAATAATTTTTTTTCATTTACAAGTTTTTTAAACAGTTTCTTTATTGAACATTAAATAATAATCAATATTTCTTATTTATAATTTAATTTTTTTTACTCAGTTACCACAACAGTCTACTGACTTAGTCGCACCGGCCTCCCGCTCACCACCTATGCTTAGAGGTGCATTGCCACACCCATTTACCAATCACCTAATTAATATAATACCTAAGAGGATTCCGCTCCTGGCAGGCGAGTCGGTTAGAAGTGTGAGCAGGCTCTCTGCGGAGGTCTGCGCTGTCTTTCCCAACCCTACTGGACAGCCGTGGACCAGAATTACTATGTAATTTTGTTTTTGTTGTTTTTCATTTAAAAAAGTTAAAGAAGAGGAGTCAAATACAGAATAATATATAGTGCTGTTAAGGGAAATTTTTGAAAAGTGATTCTACTATTCATCATGTTAAAGAGTTTTGAGTGGTAAGAGAAAATTTAAAATATTGCATTTGATAATTAACTCAATGGCCATACGTGACAAGGATTATGACTTGGGGTGTGTTGCAGTGAAATGTGACTTTTCAACGGACAAGAGCATCAGAAATGGTGATTTTGGTTTGATTTCCTGAAAGGGCCTTTGCTTTATAACTCGAGTTTAATTAAAGAAGGGGTGGTACTTTGTTGTGTTTCAAACGGAAAGTTCAATAAGTCGTCTACACCTGAATACTTTGGTCCGAGGTTCAATGCAAGGTTACTTATAGTGGACGAATACGTGGAGAATCGCTTTATTTTGTTGCACACAGTGATTGCTGCCTTTTTGATATCTCGATTCTAGTATTGCAAATTTTAAAAAATTTAGAGCATCAAGTTAGATTTGAATGTTGGAACTTTCAGAGTGTAAAATGAGAAAACAAAGATGGGAAGAACAAAATGGGATCAGGATATAGACAACCCTTGGCATCGTCTATTGAGAATTCAAAAGTTTAAAGGACTCCGCGTCTTTGGCGCTCAGCCATTCGCCACATTTCGCTGCACTGTGGGACAACGAACGTAACCTTCACGAAAGAGACGAAGAAGAAATGAAAAAAAGAGAGAATTATATTAGAGATTAATACAGAGCCTGCAAGATTGAGGATAAACTAAACCCTGCAGTAGCTGGGATAACGATCACCTTGAAAAAAAACGTCACATGTGACACACCACAAAAGTGAGTACTACGAAAATATTCAAAATATATATTGATTAACAGAGAGAGAGAGAGAGAGAGAGAGAGAGAGAGAGAGAGAGAGAGAGAGAGAGAGAGAGAGTTTGTAATTGAAATAGTGGGGGGTTGAAAGTTATTGATAATTGGCACAATAAAAAAAACAAACTTAAACACAAAATAAAACAATGTTTTTATAATCATGTTCGTTGATGTATGCTTCACAGTGTATAGTATAGTAAGTGTTACGTGCCATTGTTACGTCAGCGCAACGTATTATTTGAGTCTAAGCTTTCGCTTAATAACTCGGGACTCTCACTGGGCACGTAGGTGGGACGCGGAGCCAAAAGGTAGTTATTTTTCTTGTCTGAGTATTTGAAAGGGGGCAAGGACGACTTTTGATTAAATCGACGCGGTTGTTGAGCAATAATGTGATGCACTCGTTCGCGGCGCACCTCGGATTTATCGAGGATACCTGGTGTGATGTGTCGAATCGTATCTCGTTCACGATCTAGAGGTTACCAGTACCGTAACGAGCAAAGGTAGTTACACTCTAGAGATTACGCAAGGGGGTAAAATGATTTAAGTTCACGACTGGTCTAGGATCCACCAGTACCATCCAGAGTAAATGTGATTGCCCTAGACTTTACGTGAGGAACAATTCGTCTATTTAATTTCGTAACGTGGTATTTACCGATACCGACTTTCGAACTTTCACAAAAACACGTACGCGTTTGAAACCGAAAGGAAAAAAAAGAAAAGAACTTGTCACTTTAGTATTCAAATTTGACTTACTTTTATTTTCGGTGTAAACGTACAGCGGAGTGAACCAGCGCGAAGTGTCCAAGATCGAAGATTTAAAACCGCACTCGTGGAGGACCGTGAGATAGCAGAAGCGGACTCTAGCTACCTAGTCAACCGTTCGAGGGTGAAATTAAACTGTGTTTTTCTGTGCCTTCAGGCCCTTTTTATAAGGAGCAGCGGACCTCGACCACGCGCTGGCTGGAAAACGACGCAGGAAAGCTTGCTGCCAAAAACTTTGGGGGAAAAGACAGTAGCCAAAGATCTAATTGGCTGGAGTTGCTCTAGTTTAGCCACTCAAAATTGGCACTTCCCACCTCTGGCTAGCTTTCCTACATACGTCAAGAGAGGGGAAGGTGATTCACTCACTTGCACCCTTCCTTTCTCTTTTACATTAAGATTTTACAGATTTTCCATGTTATTTAATATTAACATTAGGATGACATATAGCCAAAATTAACTTTGAGTAAGCATTGTTCATTTATTCAATCAAATTTATTACAACAAGAGCTTTGAAAATCGCCCAATATTTCATGTAAGTGTTGACTGAATAATCGTTCACTGCATCGCTATATTAATAATAGGGTTAGTAATAATAATTTTTACACATTAATAGCTTTAATAGTTGCTAGAGTTGCCAGATACATTAATCGAACAAGTTGATAGTCGGAAAGAGTAATTGTTAACAGTGGTCCAACCATACATCTCTGAAGCAGCTGTAGTTGTGGTCCAAACACTAATCAGGTGTTTGTCGTGACCCATTGTTTGTTAACTTAACTAAGCTTGTCGATCATTTTAATTTATTGTTAGCTACGAATATATTTTGAAATGTAAGTAGTGGGATCAATTCTCATTTTCCCTTTTGCTTACTCTTTGGAGAGGATGTCGGCACGTGGTGCCCTGGGGACTTGGAAATTCCGTTACTTATATTGGCTCGGTCGTACAACCTCTCTCTTGACGTATCTGAGTCAGGAAAAGGGGAAGGAGCTATTGTTGACTGTCGGCTCAACTTTCCCACTTTCCTTTACATATTGAAAAGTAGAAAAATTTGTCCGGATTACAAAAATTAGGTTTTTGCGAATGGTATAAAAATTCTATGGTGCAAGAGAGTAGCTTGGCAACTCATGTATCAAAAACGAGCGAAAACTAATAATGTCGCTTTGTTAGGTTTACAATAGTTAATATTATTATTTATATTGTGGTTGCTTATCAACTATACATTAACTCTATCTTAGTTTACGTGTCTTAGTTCTTATCTACCGGCGCAACTGTTCCTATCTAGCCTTTTGCATCTGTTAATTCTTTAAAGTTATTTTAATATTTTACGCTTTAAAAAGTATTTCATTTGATTTCTTTTCGGATCAGCATAGGCCAGCGTGCATGTATGTGAGTCATGCATGGTCGTAGTACCTTAGCTACGAACAATCTTGTAGGTGATTTACCTCTTTTCAGATGCACATTGGCCCCTGCGTTTAGTGTTCTAAAATCGGCTCGGAAAGTTTTGAAGCAAGGGGGAAAAAAAATTAATGTGGATACACCGATGTTACACCATAATAATTCAGTATTGTGATAATCACTTTGGCATAATGCTCATTGACAATGAAACTGCTTATTGAAATTGCACACATGTGCGCACACATGTAAGAAGTTATGTTTGGTCAATCTATCTTTCACTTAGCGATTTTGCATTTTTTTAAATAATTTTCAATGTTATTTTTGGGCAAAAAAACGTATAATGTATCATACACACTTGTAATAATCTAACAAATACACTATAATTTTTTTTCAAAATTTTACACCTCAATATTGTAAAGAAATATCAAAAACACTAAAATTCGATTATATGGCATATTTTCCAATAATTGAAGGTTATTTGCACGCATGACCATGGAAAATCATTTCTGCACTATTGTTATTTACTTCTAAACGTAATGTAATTTTTCCTGTGGTTTTCTCTCTTATTTCATAACGGTACGTTGAAAACATCTAAAATTAAGATTATGTTTTTACATAACTCAAAAACCTCTCTTTTTGTGCCCCACGATAATTTTATTTCCTTTAGAGAAGCTGTAATGTGAGAAGCACGTGCAGAAATTGAAAGGTTATACCTATTTGCCTTGGTAGCATCAGCGCTAGTGCCACCATCAACCGGAAGGGTAACCATAGGTGCTTGGATAAAAGTACAGAGTAAAGAATTTAGTTGTATTCAAACTCTGCTTTACGATACCACACATATGTATGTGCTTTACTTTGTACACACACTCGCTTTCTTCATACGGTTGGAATGTGCTCTGATTAATTCTATTACATTATTAAATTTAATAAAAGGACATTATTTTACTATGTCTACCTAATACTCGATTACGTTTCATCCCGGCACCTATGTTTACCCTTTCGGCCGATGGTGGCGCTAGCGCTGATGCTACCAAAGTGAATATGAAGCACTATGAACAGTCATACTCAAACCTATGCGTTGAGTGTCGACATTGTTGAGTTGACTGATGTACTGCTCTACACTTGAGCACGTATACATACACATACACATACTTTTGCTCTCTCTCTTTCTCTTTTGTCCTGCAGTTAGCTGCTTCTGCTCTGCACTGATATACGTATATACGCCGTGCTCCCCACTCTTCCCAGTTCCCACTTAATTGCCCGATCGGAAATGTAAGCTTGCAGGCTACCGAGCTCGCAAGTATCAGCCAAGGTAGGCTGCCACGGTCGGGCCGCCTGATAGTGACGGACAAAATAGTGAAAATCCTTGTACAATTGTTGATAAACCTAAACAAGAATCTTCAGTAATAGAAGAACTGAGGAATTGGGCTGTAGAATGTAATATTACTCATTCAAATATTGATTCGTTGTTGAAGCGACTGAAAAAATTTCATCCGGAGCTGCCACTACAGCTAAGACTTTACTAAAAAAAATTGTAAATTAAAAAATAAAATAAAAAAATTCAACGAAGATGATGAAAATGACTCGTCAGATCAGGTAAAAAGAAATATTAATGTTACGACTTCCCTTTCTTTGAGTATAAGCCCGATTAATTGGTGGTGGTAATAATCGGCTAAAAATATTATCTGTATCGAGGAAACTCTAAGATTAGGAACCAACACACAAACAATGATAGTGTTTATATGTCGGAGGGCGGGTTCGTTGCCCTGTGTAAAAGAGCGAAATTGCTCAGATTGCCGATTATATACAATATTTAAAATAATTATTATCAAGTTTCAAAATTTATCTGTTGAATAATCAATTAATTCCTGCACCATATACAGCAATTGTTTATTGATTATTACTTTATTGAATTCTCCTGAATATTCCCTTAATTTAATTAATTTAATAATTTAATATCTTTTTTAACTTATTCAATATTTCTCTAATCTAATATCTTTTTTTTATTTATTCCTGCCCCTTTTTGGGGTACAAACAATATTCTTAGTTTATATAAACGATTTGGAATCTTAACAGCTATTTTTCTAGTTTTTATCTTAAACTATAAAAGGAACTCGCAATCTTA